GCTTAAAATATTTGATCAAAAGCAAACTACAGGTCCTTGTAAAACAATAGTTATTCATTTAACCAAAGTGATCATTGAAAGACTTTAAAGGCAATACAGAAAGTTACACATGTGTAAAAACCTTACTCCTTTCAAATTTCATAGGTTTTTAAAACCAATTAAACACTTTATAAAGGCAACGTAGGAACTATCTTGATAAAATGTAAAATCTTGTTTCTTAAGCCAGTTACCAAAAAGTCAGAGGAAAACCCTTTTTAGTGCGACTGCCTCTCCTTAGGGGAAAGCCCGGTTAGATAATCTGGAAGTATAATTTGTAATAAAAAGTGCTTGAATTTAGTCAAACATGGGAAGAGTGTGTACAAGGTTATGCGTAGAACTGGGGAGTAGATGACTCTTAGTAGCTGCATGGTAACTTTCCTGATGACAGTGAAAATTTAGACACACCAAAAAAAACAAAAAACAAAAAAAAAACCCCAGGAATATAGAATCAAGTTATCCTGGAGGAAAACACTGGTTTTATAGACCTCTAAGGTAAAATATTTCAGCATCAGGCCACAACATTTAGAACTAAGAAAAGTTACAGGAGCTGACAGGAAGCTGAAGGATAGAGTTATCCCAGGCCACATCAAAGGGAGAAAAAGCTGATAGCAGCAAGACAACAATTGAACAGTTGAGATATGAATCTCAGAAGTTTTCAAAAGAAATCGATTATGGAATAGAAATTCAAAATTTCTTGTCATTTTATTAAGAGCAAATTGATACCTTAAGAAAATATTGGTTTAATATAGGGGACCATTCTTTAGAAAGACTATTATAAACAATTCCTTTTGAATTATACCTAACTTGATTACATACAAAATTCCTTTTATAAATTCCCCTTCACGAGCCTTATCATGACTTACACAGACCATCTGTCACATACTTGGACTGTATATTTGTCCTATGGTACCTGTTCCTTTTTAAAATTATTTTTGATTTTCTTTTTCTAGATTAAGCTTGTAATAAGAACCTGTTTCTTAAATAACCAGTCATTTTCCTTTAGGAGAATAATTTACCATACAAGATTCTTTCTCGTATAAAATTACTCTTTTTTCTTGATAACCTTCCTTACCAAAACTACATGTTCTTGTCTATATCTTTCTTCACATCTCTCTTCACCATTTACTGCTTCCTTTCTAGTTTGTTTCATAAATAACCTTTTCAAACTCATAATTTGAATCAACTTTTAAAAAACGTTTGAATTAGACAAAATAATTCTTTTTCTCAATAAGGACACCTCTTCTTTGGCACATTTTATAGAAACCTAGGTAAAAAATCCTGAACTATCAGATATTAGTATTGTATAGATGAGAAACATTTCACAATTTTTAGAACAGTTTTCTCTGTGTAATAACCCTTTCTTAATTGGAATTGACCCAGACATCCAGTAAGCATCCAAAATGATTTTAAGATTTTAAGTTATACAAAAATTGCACTTAGAAGCATTGATGTCATTGACGCGTACTCAGTTTTTTCATTTTAACAGTTTACCTAGAGTACTTTTGAAAACTGGGAGATTATCCAAAAGTAGTAATTATTTAGTTATGTCCCTAGTACCCATTTTTAAAGTCTGTGGACATAAGGTGTTTTACCTAAGTAGGAACCTTAAAGTTCAATATATGTGCATTTTGTTAATAGCACAGAAGATTTAACTGTTTTCATTGAACTAGTAATATTAAATGAGTCTAACTTATCTTTAACATCACAGAAACAAAAATTATTCTGTTTTTGGCTGGGTTTATGGTCTTATAACCTTTATGTCATATCCTGACACCTTAATGTATAGACAGAGGTAAATACAAAACCATTTGTTCAGTAAACTCAGATAAAAATATGTTGATTATTTTGAAGACATTTCTAATATTATGTCACCAATAATCTTAACACCAGTTTTATTTGTCAAGGATTACTAAATTTATGTGAACTTGAAAAGCTTCCTAATATATGAGCGCTTATTTACTTGTAAGTCAATTTGGTAGCAGGCTAGACGTAACACACAAACATGTCTACATATGTACGTACACAAACATATCTACATATGTACATACACACAAACATGTCTACATATGTACATGCATGCAAACATCTACATATGTATATACACACAAATATGTCTACATATGTACATACAGACGTCTACATATGTATGTACAACAAACATGTCTACATATGTACATATACAAATATGTCTACATATGTTCATACACGCAAAAATGTCTACATGTGTAAATACATATTCATATGTAAATACACACATATCTACATATGTACATACACACAAACATATCTATATACGTACATACAAACATGTCTACATATGTACATACATACAAACATCTACAAATGTACATACACACAGGCATATCTACATATGTACATACACAAACACATCTACATATGTACATACAAACACGTCTACATATGTACATACACCCAAACATGTCTATATATGTACATGCAAACATGTCTACATATGTACATACACACAAACATGTCTAAACAGGTATATACGCACAAGCAAAGGTCTCATAGCATTTATCTTGGGATTCCAACCGTAAAGTAACAGTACACACTCAGTATTTTATAAAAAATAGCTGGATACACGTTACCGTCTGACAAACCTGGAACCTGTTTCCATGGATAAATTCTGTTTTCTCCAATATATAATCTATGAAAAGTGTGAACCAAAATTTGAGTACAGCAATCTTTATGGCAGTTTTGTTTTTTAAAAAGCATCTTTTACCTTTTTTTTTCCTTCAGTTTTAAACAAATTTCCTGTGTTTACTTTCTAATTAGTCCATCAATAATGTGTCTTATCACAGCACCAACAGCTTAGTAACAGCCAATCTGAAGCAGGGGGAAAGAAAATAGAGGAAGAAAGAGGTTTTGATGACTCTGCTTCACTTAATAGCTGCAGTTAACCATTTGAGCTGTGAAGTTTTCTTGCTATAGTTTGCCTCTCTGTTTAAAATGTTCACAAAAGTAGGTCTTAGTAAGTAGCCAGCTGAAATCCAGAAGAGAATGAGAATATTAAGTTCCTGCCAGGCCTCTGCAAAGGAGCTAAAGAGTAGAAGATAGAAAAGGAGGTTTGTGAACCTTCTAGCTGCTGCATGATATAGGGTTGGTATCCCCACCACTCTTGCTGACATCCCATCAGGGAGAGCCCCAGTACCCTGGACATGCGCAGTGTGAGACGAATCCCTCCCACCCCTGCAAGTCATGGGCAAATGAAACTTTACAGCTGGAGAGAGCTAGGGGTACCTTTGACTGAGATGAGTAAGGCTGTAGGTGGCTTCCAAGATAATCAGGAAGATGAAGTTGAAAGTGAAAAGGATAGGAAGATACCAGGGCCCACACTCAAAGGTCAAACACTCACACTTACAAACAAATGGTGAGCTTCCAAACAAACCCCAGTTAAGGGCTGGGTAGAATCCTGAATTTCTTTCCTCTGTTCAAAACAGTTCCACAGGTATCTGAAACCAAGTGGAGCGATGCCCAGGAGTGCCACAAATTCAAATCCGTCAAACACTCAAATGATAGTCCCGTTAGTGGACAAGACGAAACAGCAGAGCCCCAGCGACACCCCAGAAGACACGGGAAAGCTGGGTGCAATCCGACCAGCTCCCTTGGTTGCAAGGGTTGCCAGCTTCTTCAGAGATCACATTCTTTGTACCAGCAAAGTGTCGATGGCTGCAGAAGTTGTGCGAGGAAGTGAAAGGGAGGGTCTAGGAAATGAAAGATTTTCAGCAGCCACTTGGAAGTTCCCTAACATTCCAGCTGTGGGGTCAGCTAGCCTTCAGCTGCTGGTACTCACAGGTAACCCTCCGCCTTGGTAGCAAAACCAGGCTCACAGGCTTGGGTTGCCCAGAGCACATAATGCTCCCCATATGGGCCACCAAATTTGTTACCAAACACAGGTTTGGCGACTTGTCACTGACACTATCAAATAACAAGCATGAGGGTGGTAAAAAGAAAGTGACTTTATTTCACAGTTTAGCAATGGAGAAGAACCAGGTTGGTACCTAATGGAGCCGCTTCAGTTTTCTGGGAAGAAAGCAGGGTTTTAAGAAGAGAAACTTTCTTATGCAGGGCGTGCAAGGAACATGGAGGTGCGGGGTCTATGTGACTTGCTGTAAAACTTAGCTAAGAGGTCATTGGTTAGTCTGACCAGTGTCATTGAGGACAGAGTCGGAATGTGGATTAACTCTTGTCTTGAGACAGTCTCCCTGTGAGGGAGAATTCTGGATGGTGCCACTTCAGTTCAACATTTGGTCCTTAGAATTTCTAAGGAAACATACTTAGATAAGCTGGCAGTCCTTGCAGGTGGTTTCACTGGTGGAAACGAAGGAAGGAAAAGGTTAAATTTGCCTTTCTAAGGAGCTAAGCAAGAGGTGAACAGTGAGAAAGAGAAAAAATACACAGGTAATTTTTAGGAGAATGCTATACTGGGTTACAATTTAACATAATTTCACTGTGTCTAAAGAGCTACTCTATACTTCATGCAAACTACATAGCCTGTGGCATTCATGGAGTGACGAACAGAGAAAAAAAATAGTTTTGAAGTGCAAAGGAAACTGGAGATTGTTTTAAGGAAAATCAGTGAAGGAAGAAACCTTTATTGGCTTCTCCTTTTGGTGAGAAATGTTCTCTTATAAGTAGACAATTGTACTTTAATTATTTCATAATGTAGTGATTTTACCAGCCACAACTAGCAGCATAACATAGGAAAGGCAGGTTGGTGTCCACACAGGGTCACTAAATCTACCTGACACACCATTTACTTTATTTCTAAAAATATCCTTCATCCTTGGACTTGATGCAGGATCACTAAGTCATGGAAAACTTTGTGTTTTTGTAGTCAGAAATGAGATGAAAGCATAAAGGTGAATTATTCTTTATTAAAGAATTCATTTAAATTACTTTTCTTTGTATCTTTGCTTTTTGTTTCTGTACTGCTCCAGTACTCCCGTGAACCATGTCTGAGTGGAGTAATGATGGCACCACAGTCCAGCCTGCATGGGTGTTGGCCTGAGTGCTCCCGTCTCATGAAATTCAGCCACCTCTTTCTCCAGTCAGTTCCATATTCTCAACTCCGACTGTCTTCCAGAGTCCGTGTTACACCACAGCCTGGAAACTCTCCCCAAGCAGTAACCTGAAGCAACAGTAAACCCTCATTGTTTTGCCTCTCTCGGATGTCACTGTCCTTCATTTTTTGATGTGCATTGTCTTGCAATCCATCCTTTTTAACATGTGATATTTTAACATGTGATAAGCCATGTCCAATCCCCGTAAGTTTTACCACATTTTGTTTCATTCTTCCTGCAGTTACTCCATCATTACTGTATCACCGCCTGTATGGATGTAGTTGTCAGTGTGAAGCTGAGTAAGGAACAACGTGCACCAGTCTCACAGAGAAAAATGGACAAGCGAGCTGGCCTTTGTATCACTAAAGGGAAGGTCTGATTGGTGAATATGTAACGTCTGTAGTAGTCTTGTTGGGGACATCCACAGCATGTCAATGAATCAAAGACTTAAGTAGGATCTCAAAGAAATAATAATAAACTCTATCTAAACTCTTATACACATAGTAGACTTATTTACACTTACTGAAAAAGTTCATCTAGAGTTTTAAATTTACATTTTATTCATATACAAATGAAAGCAATATTGAAATTAATTCATAAATTAACTCACACATATATTGATATTCTGATTATGATTGTTCTGAATTAGATTTTGACACTTTTTCAAAGTGATTATTGATACAGTTGGATGAATATTCACCATGTTTGTTACTGTCTTCTCGTTTTTGCGCTGCCCCTGTTTCCATTTTTGTCTTCCATTCATTTTCCTTTTTTTGTGGTTTTTATTCAGCATTTCATATAATTCACTATTCTTTCTTAGCATCTCAGACTTTTTTTATACTTTTTTATTGGTTACTGAAGATAAGAAAAGCTTTTAATTTTCATATTCTTAATTGATCTTACATATAACAGCTTATTTAAAATAATTATGTTCCATAGCAGACAGGTGCCTTTCAAAAAAATAGTAGCAAGGCTGGGTCGGTGGTTCAGGCTTGTAATCACAGCAGTTTGGGAGGCCGAAGTGGGTGGATCACCAGAGATCGGGAGTTCGAGACCAGCATTGCCAACATGGTGAAACCCCATCTCTACTAAAAAAAATACAAAATGTAGCTGGACGTTGTGACACACATCTGTAATCCCTGCTACTCAGGAGGCTGATGCAGGAAAATTGCTTGAATGCGGTAGGCAGAGGTTGCAGTGAGCTGAGAACGCACCACTGCACCCCAGCCTGCGTGACAGAGCAAGACTGTGTTTCAAAAAAAAAAAGTAATTTATTTAATTATATTTTTGTAAGTATAAGATATATATACACACTTCTAAGTAAAATGAAAGACAGGAAAAGTGGGACAAAAGGAAAAATACAGGAAAAAGGAAGAAATAGTTAGAACTATTATAAGATGGTTACACTACTTCTGAAGCAGTATAATTTTATATGAAAGGAGCTTAGATTAGTTGTAAATATAAATTGCAACCTCTAGGGCAGGATACTGGAACGGGGGCCTCAGTTTTTTGCTGTCTGCGGCCAGAGGCTGCATTCAGTTATTTCCTATGTTGGCTTCTCTCCTATGGCAGAATGTGTCATCAAAGCCACCATGGGAGAGAGCTTGTGGCAAGACAGGTATCATAATCTTAGGTAACATGATTACTCAAGTGACGTCCTATCACGTTGTAGTCTTCTGATGTATCAAAGCAAGCCTCAGTTTCTCCCCAAAGTCAAAAGGAAAGGATTAGAATATTGGGTTATGTACACCAAGCTGTGAGGGTCATTGCGCACCATCTGAGCGCTCACCTGACAACATCAGGTCTTACTTAATCTGGGATAGGTTCTCAGTCCTCACTTACTTTGCTGAACTTGGCCTTTGTGAGAAAACAGGTCACATAATTTGTGAAATGTATCAGAATCTGGATTTCTCTGAATGTTTCTCATGTTTTAATGAGCCATATAGATAGAGACATGTAATTGTCTATTTGTGAAGACAAGAAACAGCGAACAGGACATTATTTACAAATACAGATTTAGAGACCAAAACTAAGAAAGAAAAGTTTGCAGATGGTAAAAGGAAAATTAAAAATAATAGTGCTGTTCACCAGGGTAACAAAAAGGGTAGGAATAGGGAAGTGAGCACCTGGGACACTACAAGATCGACAGCCCGGGCTATTTATTTGTTTTTTTTTAAATCTATTTTACAATAGTTTTGGATTTACAGAATAGTTGGAAGTACATACTGAGAGTTTATATATACTCAACACATAATTTCCCTTTTATAAATTCTTACATTCATTTGAAACACTTGTTACAGTTGGTGAACCAATATTATATATTATCATTCACCAACATTCATGATTGATCAGATATTCTGTTTTCATGTAACGTCCATATTCTGTTCCTGGATTCCGCTCAGGACACCACATCACATTTAGGTATGTTGTGCCAGTTTCTCAGATGTTTCCTATTTCTGATGTCATTGAAATCCCTTCTTTGGGATGTCTCTGGTGTTTTCCTAATGACTGGATGGCCGGTGTGGATTTAGCAGAGGAAAACCACAGAGGGAAGGTTTTATTCTCATGATACTGTGACAAGAGTACATAGTATCAACATGCTCTATCACTTTTTTTTTCTTTTTTTTTGAGATGGGTCTCATTTTTTCGCTCAAGTTGGAGGGCAGTGGTGTGAACAAAGCTCACTGCAGCCTCGAACTCTTGGGCTTGAATGATCCTCCACCTCAGCCTCTTGAGTAGATGGGACTGCAGGCATGTGCCACCACATCTGGGTGATTTCATTTTACTTTTACTTTGATAGAGGCAGAATCTCAAGACATTGCCCAGGCTGGTCTCTAAGCCCTGGCCCCAAGCGATCCTCTCACCTCAGGCTCCCAAAGTGCTGGGATTACAGGTGTGAGCCACTGTGCCCAGCTGCTTTATCATGGTTAATGTTGTTTGATCACATGGATGAGGCAGTTTAGCTCAGTTTTCTTCACTGTAAAATTAATATTATTCCTCTTTTCATGTTGTACCTTTTGGCAAAATCATCACTATACCCAGTGCATACATGGAAAATAGGGAATTATGCCGCATTCCCCTATGGGCAGACTTTCTATAAACATCATTTGAGTTTCTGTAAAAAATATTTAACATTCTTTGGGCTGTTCTGGATCAGTTGCATTTTTCTGTGTGTTTTAGAATCAGTGGTCCAAAAACTGCTAAAAATGAAAAAAAATTAGTTAGAATTTTAGTAGGGCTTGTATTGAATCTGAAGATGCATTTAGAAAGTATAAGCATCTTGGTTAATACTTAATAGCTTTCTGATCAATGAAAATCTAGTTTATATGTCATATTACACTAATTCTTCTATTCATTTATTTAGGATTTCTTTAAGACTTCAATATTATTTGTAATTTTCAGTATATATATCTTGTGGTTATTATGTTATTTTCCCTTTTGATGCCGTGTTATATGATATTATTTTGAGTTTCATTATTTGATTAGTTTGTATTGTATAAGAATGCAATTTATTACATTGATCATGAATACTGAATTTTGTTTTTGTTTCAACGTTATTTTAGTGGATTTTTTAGGATTTTCTATATATTAGGTTGTGTCAGTGGCCAATAGATTGTTTGACTTCTTCCCTTTCAAATTGGAAGTCTTATATTTATTTTTCTATCCTACTTTTATAAATTATGTCCTCAAGCATAATGTTTAGTTGAATTAGTGGGAATAGGTAACCTTTTGTGTTTATAATTTTGGGAATATTACTGAGACCTACTTGATACCATGTGTTGTCATGTGAATATTTCATAGGTGCCTGTTTTAGGGAAGAACATTCCCTTTATGCAAAATTTGCTTAGTGTTTTTACTGTGAGTGGGTTTTTGAATTGGAAAGTGCTTATTCCATATTTTTAGATGTGATAATGAAAATTTTGTCATTATATTGAGGTAGTTATTACATTAAATCTTTTTATATGTTTTACCAAACTTATGATCCTAAGTAAATAAATAAATAAGTGTTTAATTCTGTTTTACAATCCTGATTTGTGTTGAAACTATTTCCTTGAGAATTATTGCCTAGGTATCCATAAAGCATATTAGTTTATAGTTTTCATTTTTTGGATTGTCTTTGTCTGGTTATTACCTCAGAGGAATCTGCCTTATAGGACGCACTGCACACTGATCTCTTCTCTGTTGTTTTATTTTTTTGGAGAACAGTTAGTAAAACATTGCTGTTGATATTTTAAAGGTTTGGAATAATTCATCAGTGTAATCTTCTCAACCTGGTCAATCACATGAACTTAGAAGATGATTCCTCCCCAGCTGATCCTTCAGGTGAGACCTCAGCCTTTGCAGTCATCTACATGTAGATTCCTGACCCAGAGAAACTGTGAGTAATTTGTGTGTGCTTTTGAGCCACTAAGCTATGAGGTAATTGGCTATGCTGCAATAAACAATAATACACTTGATGGTAAACATAGTATGTTATCCTTGATTAGATCCAAAAAAAGGAAAAATGGCATTAGTGGAAAACCTGGTAAAATATGAAGACAGTCAGTACTTTAGTTAATAGTTTTGTGCCTTTTCTCAGTTTGTGAGTTTTCACAGTCTATGGTTATGTGTATGATATTAATGTTGCAGGAAATTGAAGGGTATATCCACTTTTTGTAAGATTTTAACAACTCTCTATAGATCTAAAATTACTTCTAAATAAATAGAAGTGTAGACATGGCTCATGTATTTGAGATCAGGTCTTCCTGTTAATGAAGCCTTCATGGAACCTAAAACTCATGGTACAAATGCAATAACATTAGAAAATATAAATGAGATGAGTTTCTATTTTACTCACTCTATTCTTCAGGGAACACTAAAGCCCATTCTTCTTCTCAAGTATCCAAATCTAAAGTTGATCCAAGTAACCAGTGGACAGCATAAAAGATTGTATGGAAACTATAATGCATCTACATCTTCAGTTACTAATCATAAAATGATTTGTATGATCATTCTTCACATGATTAGAATGACTATGGGAAAGAAGAAAAAGAAATGCTACTTTCTTGATTTAAAAATGGTGTCTGTGCAAGAGTGATGGCACACCCCTGTAGTCAGTCCCAGCTGCTAGGGAGGGTTGTTCGGATGATCATGTGATACCAGGAGTCTGAGTCTGTGTAGTGTGCTATGATTGTGCCAGTGAATAACCATGCACTCCAGCCTGGGCAACATAGTGAAACCCCATTAAATAAATAAATTAAATAAATACATAAATAAGTTACAGATCATTGTTTATATTTCTATTATTAGGGCTCAAATCCTCTAGATAGAGTTTTTTGTTTTTGTTTTTGTTTTTTTGTTTGTTTGAGTTTGAGTTGGAGTCTCACTTTGTCACCCAGGCTGCAGTGCAGTGGCGCGATCTCAGCTCACCGCAAGCTCCACTGCCCAGGTTCACACCATTCTCCTGCCTCAGCCTCCCGAGTAGCTGGGACTACAGGTGCCTGCCACCACGGCCGGCTAATTTTTTTTGTTTTGGGTGGAAACAGGGTTTCACCGTGTTAGCCAGGATGGTCTCGATCTCCTGACTTCATGGTCCACCTGCCTCGGCCTCCCAATGTGCTGGGATTACAGGCGTGAGCCACTGCACCAGGCCTGAGATTTTTCTTTATCTTTGGAGAACTACGACTCCAGCGCAAACTTTCAAGTAATGCTTTGCCATTTTTACTTTCCCTCTCAAGGATTCCTGGAACTATAATTTGTAAAACTATCACACAGCATGTATTTTATTTTTACTTCTGTTTCCTATTAAGGCCTCTCTGGATGGTGGCTATAACCTATAGCCTTGCCCAGTACAACTCAGGGTTTGGTACTGGATGTGCCTTTCATGGGATGCTTACTTATCCTGATGGATGGCCTAAAACCGAACTGTCCAGCTTACATCCGGGTATCTTTCTCAGAGAGTACTTGTTTATACTGTAAGACACCCTGTGGCTCCTGTCTGACCTGTATCTAGTTTATTTCTACCAAGGTAACCACTGTTTAGGAGAGTGCTAAGTGGGAGAAAAGTGAGGTCCATGTGTGTTCGTCAAGTGAAATACAGAGGAGACAACTCAACACAATGTGTATAATGGCGTTAGTAATGTATTACTAACCAATCCCAGTAAGAAGAGGCCAGCATTCCTTGAAGTGTCAATGAAAATGAAGAGCTCTCCAGGCCACACACTCATAAGTAGCAGGGGTGCTGGAGGAGCAACTAGAGAAAGACATACTATTGTGCCATTTGGCTGAAGTCTTCATGGGTGTATTTGTTAGGTTTTTTTCCAGCGAGACAGAACTACAGGGAGGGAGGGAGGTAGGTAGGGAGGTAGATAGGTAGATACGTAGATGGAGAGTTGATAGACAATAGTTAGATGAATGGCATTTTGTTTGGGGATTTACTCGTGTAACATTGTAGAGACGGAGAATTCCCAAGACAGCCATCTGCAAGTTTAAGGACCTTGGATGCTGTAGCGTGATGGCTCAGTCCAAAGCTGAAATCTTCAGAAGCAGGGAAGCTCTTGGTGTAATTCTCAGTTTGGGATCAATGGCCTGAGAATCCAGGGCATTTACTGGTATAAGTTCTGGAGTTTCAAGGTCATAGATCATGGAGTTGTATTTTCCAAGGACAGGAAAAGGAGTATACTTTCTCCTGGAGAGAGACCGGAAAACTTTTAAAATTTTTTCGTTTTTGGTTCTATTTGGTCCCCAAGGAGATTGTATGCTGCCTTCCCTCATTGAGGCTGGATTTTTCCCTCTAAATTCCCTGACTCATACCAACCTCCTCTGGAAACACCCTGGCAGACACACCCAGAAGTATGATTTACCAATTGTCTAGGTATTCTTTAATCCAGTCAGCACCTTAAATTAACCATGACAAGTCCAGCACCTTTCTAGTTGGCACCTATATGTATCACCTTAAGCCATAACTAATCTTTAGATACAGACAATAACAAGGCAATAGTTCTACCTAACACGATGCAACCATCCTGTGTGCAACCAAAACACACTATACTATTTGTCTTAAGAGCAGTGGAAGTTTGTGGGTGATGTTTACTCTTCTCCTGATACCCCATAACTTCAATACAAGTATGTTAAATTGCTAACACTTAACTGTTAGTATCAAGTTAACACATTCTTGTGTTTTGTGACAAAAGAAGAGAGAAATAAGAAGAATGTTATTTGTCTAATATATTGATATATAACATGCAAATGTATTCTTAACAAAGTAGATAGGAAATACTAGTGACAATTTTAATCCTTGTTTCTGTAACTGGTCACCTGGTTCTGTCTGGTGTGTATGCATGTATTTATTTTATCATTTTTTTTTTAATTTTTTATTTTTTGACACAGAATCTCACTCTGTCTCCCGGGCTGGAGTGTAGTGACATGATCTCGGCTCACTGCAAGCTCCGCCTCCCTGGTTCACACCATTCTTCTTCCTCACTGAGTAGCTGGGACTACAGACGCCCGCCACCACGCCCAGCTAATTTTTTGTATTTTTAGTAGAGATGGGGTTTCACCGTGTTAACCAGGATGGTCTTAATCTCCTGACCTCGTGATCCACCTGCCTCAGCCTCCCAAAGTGCTGGGATTACACGCATGAGCCACTGTACCTGGCCCTGTCTGGTATTTATAACTCCCTTCTACTGCTACCCATTCTGTATTCTCTTTGTCTTCAGCAAGCCCCTTTGCTGGTCCTGGGTCTTTATATGGTAGGGTGATGCAAACCTTCATTCCTGAAACATCTGGAGCAGTTGTATTCTTGTCTGGAATGGTGGTAATAATCCATTGAACTTAATAACAGGGAATAGTAATACTAAGACTTTGTTTTAGTCCATTTTCTATTACTGATAACAGAATACCTGAAACTGGGTAGTTGATAAAGAAAACACATGTATTTCATACAGTTATGGAGACTGAAAAGTCCAAGGGTGACAGGTTGTATGTGGCGACATCCTGTTGCTGGTTGGGACTCTCTGAAGAGTTCTGAAGTCTACAGGGTGTCATATGGCAATGAAGTAGCGCTTGCTGACATGCAAGATCATGTCTCCCTTCTTATAAGCCACTCTTCTCTCATAATAGACTATTAATCGTTAAATATTAATGTATTGATCCCTGAAGGGATTAATTCACTTATGGGGTCAGACTCTTCATGATCCAATCACCTTTTAAAGGCCTCACAATTCAACACTGCCATGTTAGGGATGAAATTTCAGCATAAATTTGGAAAGGAGGCAATATTCCAACCGTAGCACTGCACTTCTGACTCTCTAAAAATCACACCCTGTCACAAAAGCTTTATTTCATTCCTATAGTTCCAAGGCTTAAATTGTTCCAGCACCAACAGAAAGTTCTAAAATCTAAAGTCTCCTCTGTCAGCCCATGAAATCAAAACAAGTATTCTTGATACAAAACTCGGCAGTTGGGTTGTTGATGCCCACTGGGTTCATGTTGGCTGCTGCCCAGATAGAGCCACTTTACCAAGATAAGGGAGTTACTATAGAGAACATTTTATACATGTAGAGCCAGCTAAAAGAGAGAGCAGAGTTTTCATATTACTCAAAACTGCTTCTCTAAATACTCAGAAACTAGAGTTTTTATAGATAGTTTTGTGGGCAGGGGGTTAGAGAAAGGGACATGGTGATTGGTTTGGGTCAGGGATGAACTCTTCGGAAGTCAAAGCCATCTTCTTTGCTGACTCACCTGCTGGGTGGGGGCACATATCCAGATGAGCCAGTTTACTGGTTTGGGTGGCACCTGCTGATCTGTCAGAATGCAAGTTATGAGAAATACCTCAAACACCAATCTTAGGTTTTACAATAGTAATGTTATGTATAGGAGCCATTGGGGAGTTAATTAATCTTGTGGCCTCATTGTATGACTCCCGAGCCGTGCTTTCTAATACGGTGGTTAATTTGTTAGTTTTACAAAGGTGATTGTGGTCCCCAAACAATGAGGGGTTTTGTTTCAGGGAGGAGCTGTTATTATCTTTGTTTCAAAATTAAGCCACAAAGTAAATTTCTTCCAAAGTGGGTTTTGTTTTTACCCAGGAATAAACAAGGCCTGCTTGGAGGTGAATGCAAGATGAAGTGACTTAGGTCGTATGTCTCTCCCTGTCGTAATTTTCTCAATTACTGTTTTTGCAAATGGGATTTCAATTTCCCCTTCTGAATTTCATTGCATCTTATTCTTTTTTTTTTTTTTTTTTTTTTTTTTTGAGACGGAGTCTCGCTTTGTCGCCCAGGCTGGAGTGCAGTGGCCGGATCTCAGCTCACTGCAAGCTCCGCCTCCCGGGTTTACGCCATTCTCCTGCCTCAGCCTCCCGAGTAGCTGGGACTACAGGCGCCCACCACCTCGCCCGGCTAGTTTTTTTTTTTTTTTTTTTTTTTGTATGTTTAGTAGAGACGGGGTTTCACCATATTAGCCAGGATGGTCTCGATCTCCTGACCTCGTGATCTGCCCGTCTCGGCCTCCCCATTGCATCTTATTCTTAAGGTGTGAGGTACAGTGTTGGGAAAAGGCCAAAGACCATTCTAACTTCTTTCTGCTAACAAGGGGTATACTTGAGATAGGGTTTGGCCCCAGAGTAAATGGAATGAAACTGCTTTGTAGCTGTCTGCATGTATTCGCTGATGCCTGGTTGGGGTTCCTAGGCTTGCATGACAAAGATGTTAGTACTGTCATCCACAGTTTTAGTACAGCACTTAAGTGAACAGCAAACTCTAGGATAATGGGTCCTAATATAAGGAGTGGAAGTCCTAGCTTCAGAAGTCCTTATGTAATTTGTCTAAATCCCTGAGGGATTAGAGTGAATAGCCCTAAGAACCAATCAGACATGGGGTCAACAGTCAAGAGAGATTTGGGTCAGAGGTTGTTAGAAAGACAAATTGGGATAAACAGGAAAGAGCAAATTTAAATATACCATCTCATATCTTTTTAGTTAGTTTCCTAGTTCTCCGAATATATCCTAGCTGTGTTTCATTCCAGGAGGTGTCACTGCAAATGAAGGAGGCTCCCTTATGTGATTAAGGCAAAAAATATTTTTAATAACAGGCATTTGTAGGGAAATAGAAAATAATAACAAAGGTTAATGTTGGGCACAACGTATCCAGATGTTAGATTCAAAGCATTTTTAAGTTGCAAAGGAGGATAGCGATGACAATCTCACGTATTTTTCATCTGTATCTCATGGGATAAGCTTCAGCATGCAGGGCCTCCGGAAGAAATTTGTAGCCATTTCATTGAGTCCAGGTCACAAAAGTGGGAAAAAAATGTGGATGTATTAGTTTGAGGACTTTAGCTCTGAGAGATTTCAGGATTCATTCCAAAGTGCAGAAAATAATAAAAAGCTCAAAAACAATGGACAAGACCAGAATCTAACAACAAGTGTGCTATAGTATTTTTCTGAAATATAATGTTTTGCTCCCTAGTTTTCATTTTTATTTAAGACATATCATAGTAGGACACATTTATTTGCAAAATAAGTTTTGGTATTATTATAGTTAGCCTGATTATTTGTGTAAAGTTCAGCCAGAATAATTATTTCCCATATTAGCTCTTTCTAAACTGGGTTTGCTGGAACTTTGTTCCCTAAGGAATCTCGGATTGGACTTTTTTAAAGCCTTGAAGTGATGTATCTGTGCCTGCAAATACTAGTACACACTGGTTGAATTTCTCACTTCTTCAGCTCCCAAGATAATTTGGGAATCATAGGCCTGTCAGAATGTGACACTTTTTACTTACCACAGGTCAGGAACCCTGTGCAAGGCCTGTGTAGATAGTTATGAGGCCAGTTTCTTCAAGGGGCTTTTATCATCTCTGTTGGTCAACTTCAGTTCCTCAAGACTGTCTTTTTGTATTTGAAAGTAGGCCATTCCACTGGTAAAATAACCGTATCTTTGGTAAAATAATCTGTGCCTACAGTTGTCTCCTGTTACAAAAGAAATCAGATTCTTAGTGTACTTAGGTAAATAACTATATCTCTTTGGTATGGAATCCTCATAAATAGTTTTCAAATTTTGGAGAAATCAAATAGAGAATATGAACTGTCTTTCAAGTTTTGCTCACAGGAATATACTTTAGTCAATCATGAGAAGCTGTAAATAGCTGAAACGAAAAATGTTGTCTTGACTCTGAAAAATGACAAAAAGGCTCAGCAACTTTGCAAGCAACAAGTCATAAAAGGATTATTTTGGTCTTCTATTAGTTCAGTCCATGAAGTTAACTTTGTCTGACCTTGAGCCAGCAGTCCTCATAAACATACAGCTATCTATGAGAGTTTGGAAGTTTGGTTTGTTTTTTTCCTATTTCAATGCCCCAGTCTTTAGTTATGAGAAACCTGTATTCAGGAGAACATTTCAAACAGCAAACACCTTTTGAATAGTTTAAAAAAAAAAAAAAACACAGTAATCTGTGGATGACAATTATCTCAGGCCAGCCACTGTTTTATTAATTTTACTTTGATTTTTTTGAGACAGGGTCTCAAGCCACCCGGGCTGGAGTGCAGTGGCACAGTTATGGCTCACTGTAGCCTCACCTTCCTGGGATCAAGCAATCCTCTTTCTTCAGCTTCCAGAGGAGCTGGGACCACAGGCAAGTCCTACCACATACAGCTAATTTTTTCATTTTTTTTTAGAGATAAGGTCTCACTATCTTGCTCACACTGATCTCAAATAGCTGAGCTCAAGCAATCCTTCCAATTAGCCACCTAAAGTTGTAGTATTACAGGCATGAGCCACCGTGCCCAGTGAGGACATTACAGGCATGAGCCACTGTGTCCAACGAGGCCATTGTTAAAGACACAATCGACAGAGAAATCCGGTCATTTCTGTGGAACATAACAATTTAACATAATAAACATTATTATTAGTGATAACATATACAAAGACATATTAGAATTATAGGAACCATATAATTTTGGAATACATCCTAATAACATATTTATATAAATATAACCCAAAGAAAGTTAAACATAATTTTGTATTTGACAATGTTTTCTGTAGGTTAATATATCAAATAAATGAAATATGTCTCTTTTGGACTTCAGGGGACCTAATACTTAAAAGACTAATGAGTTAAAAGAAAAATTCTTAGTTTATAATTGTATTTTTCAAAGTTTGCGAATGTTAAAGGCTTAAAACACTTCATATCACCATATAGAATCCCAGATAACCACAAATCATTTGCTTAGCCAAAACAGTAGCTCAAAAATTCAAAAAGGCAAAAGCCTTTATTCATTGGTAGAGAGGCGACTCTGATCTCCCAACAACAGGACCAAATAAAGTCAGCATGAGGCCATCCGAATTTGTATCTTCTCTCTCCTCTACTTTTTTCAGTTTAGAAGACAAATAAAAATACTTTATCATCTCTCAGTAGTATACAGAAATCTTGTTTAAAGAGAAGACCAAATTTTACCTTTGTATTAGTGTTTTATTAATGTCAAACCCAATTTTTACATAAAACCTTATAAACAAAACTATCAAATCTAAATCAGTTTGACTCTAACTGTTTACAACTTCCTACTAAACAACTGATTAATGCTCAATGAAAACTCTGTTTATCACACTTTAGCGTGCAGATTCTGGGCCTGTGTCATTGTGATTTTTACCTTAATGATCATTCTGTAGAAAAACTAACCTGCTTCAAGTTTTGGCAAGCTACTCACACTCACACACAGAACTTTCTTTACAAGACCAATCTACAAACCTTTATAATTTGCTTAAACCTTACATTTTTGTCCTATTATTTTTTTAACTTAAGACAATTTTTAAAACCTCTAATTTAGACAAGGTTACTTTTTAAAACAAAAATCATCTTTAGGTCTTTTTATAATTTTTTATAAAAAGACATTTTATAATTTTTACATGCCTTGAATGTAAATGTTTTCTCAGTAGTATCAGTTACACGTGTTACAGTGTTAAATCTTCACAACTTTTATTTTTAGTGAAAGCAGTTTTAATTTCATATCAAGTGCAGAGCCTAGGACACAGGACAGAAATGAAGATAATGTCTGACACTATCCAATATACCTAGGGGGCATGGCAAACTCAGCATGTCCCTAGGCTTTACCTGGAAGCTACTGGCTCTAATGCAGGCAGGTTGGACAATTACAGAAAGTCACAGATATTTATAACCTTAGAACAGCAAAGAGAATACCTGACCTGCCTAATTTAGACCAAATGTCTAAATGTTGAAGAAATAATGTTATTGTACCAGTAATCTTTAGAGCTATCTTTATTATTCAAAGATCATTAGAGTCATGTGAACTACAAAGCATTGTAGTTAACTTTTTTGATAAAATATTTTATTTAAGTGCATAAATATGCCAATTAATTACAGCTCTTTTATATAGTTTGTTAGCAAAATATTAATTATATGAAGCATATAAATACACAGACATAGAGAAGCAGATCTGGTAAAGTTATATGGATTCTTCATTTGTGAGTTTTTAAGTTTTTCTTTTTCATTTTAGATCATCAGTCTCTTGATTACCTGTTCCCTGCCCCAAACAGTTTTTAACCAGGCAGTTCCAAATTTTTATTTTTAAAGGGATAAATCTTAGGTGAAATAAAATAGATAATTTATATTTTATCTAAACCAAGGAAAAATGTGGGAGTTTCAGTCAGGATGGCCAGGAAAGGCAGACACTCTTCAATTTGGAGATTTGGAGATTGGTTAACTTGAGGTTGATATTAGATGCTGGCAGGAGTCTGTCTTCTTTAGAGGAGCTACATGTATCCAGAAGTCAATTCCTTGTACCTTAACACCACAAAGATTAGTTAATAACACCTGATAAGAACTTTTTCAGGGTGTTGGAGGTGGTGATACACTTCACAGTGATTAATTTTTTTTAGCTTTGATAAGCCCCAGCAATAAGTCAGAGACTTAATTTAGAATTCAATTTTGGAGATGTCTGTCAAAGATGTTAGAAAGCTTAAAATATTTGATCAAAAGCAAACTACATGTCCTTGTAAAACAATAGTAATTCATTTAATCAAAGTGATCATTGAAAGACTTTAAAGGCAATACAGAAAGTTACACATGTGTAAATACCTTACTCCTTTCAAATTTCATAGGTTTTTAAAAACCAATTAAACACTTTATAAAGGCAACGTAGGAACTATCTTGATGAAATGTAAACTCTTGTTTCTTAAGGCAGTTACCAAAAAGTCAAAGGAAAACCCTTTTTAGTGCGACTGCCTCTCCTTAGGGGAAAGCCCGTTGAGATGATCTGGAAGTACAACTGATAATAAAAAGTGCTTGAATTTAGTCAAACATGGGAAGAGTGTGTACACGGTTATGAGTAGAACTAGGGAATAGATGACTCTTAATAGCTGCATGATAAGTTTCCTGATGACAGTGAAAATTTAGACACACACACACAAAAAAAACCCCAAGAGTATAGAATCAAGTTATCCTGGAGGAAAACACTGGTTTTATAGACCTCTAAGATAAAATATTTCAGCATCAGGCCACAACATTTAGAACTAAGAAAAGTTACAGGAGCTGAGAGGAAGCTGAAGGATAGAGTTATCCCAGGCCACGTCAAAGGGAGAAAAAGCTGATAGCAGCAAGACAACAATTGAACATTTGAGATATGAATCTCAGAAGTTTTCCAAAGAAATCGATTATGGAATAGAAATTCAAAATTTCTTGTCATTTTATTAAGAGCAAATTGATACCTTAAGAAAATATTGGTTTAATATAGGGGATCATTCTTTAGAAAGACTATTATAAACAATTCCTTTTTAATTATACCTAACTTCATTACATACAAAATTCCTTTTATAAATTCCCCTTCACAAGCCTTATCATGACTTACACAGACCATCTGTCACATGGTTGGACTGTATACTTGTCCTATGGTACCTGTTCCTTTTTAAAATTTTTTTCGATTTTCTTTTCTAGATTAACCTTGTAATAAGAACCTGTTTCTTAAATAACCAGTCATTTTCCTTTAGGAGAATAATTTACCATGCAAGATTCTTTCTCGTATAAAATTACTCTTTTTTCTTGATAACCTTCCTTACCAAAACTACATGTTCTTGTCTATATCTTTCTTCACATCTCTCTTCACCATTTACTGCTTCCTTTCTAGTTTGTTTCATAAATAACCTTTTCAAACTCGTAATTTGAATCAACTTTTAAAAAACGTTTGAATTAGACAAAACAATTCTTTTTCTCAATAAGGACACCTCTTGTTTGGCACATTTTATAGAAACCTAGGAAAAAAGAAATCCTGAACTATCAGATATTAGTATTGTATAGATGAGAAACATTTCACAATTTTTAGAACAGTTTTCTGTATATAATAACCCTTTCTGAATTGGAATTGACCAAGACATCCAGTAAGCATCCAAAATGATTTTAAGATTTTAAATTATACAAAAATTTCACATAGAAGCATTGATCTCATTGACGTGTACTTAGTTTTTTCCATTTTAACAGTTTACCTAGAGTACTTTTGAAAAATGGGATATTACCCAAAAGTAGTAATTATTTAGTTATGTCCCTATTACCCATTTTTAAAGTCTGTGGACATAAGGTGTTTTACCTAAGTAGGAACCTTAAAGTTCAATATATGTGCATTTTGTTAATAGCACAGAAGATTTAACTGTTTTCATTGAACTAGTAATATTAAATTAGTCTAACTCATCTATAAAATCACACAAACAAAAATTATTTTGTTTTTGGCTGGGTTTATGGTCTTATAGCCTTTATGTCATATCCTGACACCTTAATGTGTAGACAGAGATAAATACAAAACCCTTTGTTCAGTAAACTCAGATAAAAATATGCTGATCTGTTGTTTCCTGACTTTTTAATTATCGCCATTCTAACTAGTGTGAGATGGTATCTCATTGTGGTTTTGATTTGCATTTCTCTGATGGCGAGTGATGATGAGCATTTTTTCATGTGTCTGTTGGCTGTATGAATGTCTTCTTTTGAGAAATGTCTGTTCATATCCTTTGCCCACTTTTTGATGGGGTTGTTTTTTTTTTTTTTTTTTTCTTGTAAATTTGTTTGAGTTCTTTGTAGGTTCTGGATATTAGCCCTTTGTCAGATGAATAGATTGCAAAAATTTTCCCCCATTCTGTAGGTTGCCTGTTCACTCTGATGATAGTTTCTTTTGCTGTGCAGAAGCTCTTTAGTTTAATGAGATCCCATTTGTCAATTTTGGCTTTTGTTGCCGTTGCTTTTGGTGTTTTAGACATGAAGTCTTTGCCCATGCCTATGTCCTGAATGGCACTACCTAGGTTTTCCTCTAGGATTTTTATGGTATTAGGTCTAACATTTAAGTTTCTAATCCATCTTGAATTAATTTTCGTATAAGGAGTAAGGAAAGGATCCAGTTTCAGCTTTCTACTTATGGCTAGCCAATTTTCCCAGCACCATTTATTAAATAGGGAATCCTTTCCCCATTTCTTGTTTCTCTCAGGTTTGTCAAAGATCAGATGGCTGTAGATGTGTGGTATTATTTCTGAGGACTCTGTTCAGTTCCATTGGTCTATATCTCTGTTT